CCCCCCACATGCGCACGAAAGTTCTGGAACAACCGGAAGGAAGTAAAGGCACAGAAGAGGGAGAAGAGGACGACACAAGCAAAGGTAAACAAACAAACAAACAAAAAACTTCCAGAACACCTATTTTGTGTTGCAGAAAGCCAGCACTTTGAGACAACTGTACTTTGAAAATAAACAACATGTTTTGCTAATGCGCTAACGGCTAACAGCTAAGCTAACTTTTCATTTAGCGGATTAGCATTCTTTTTGCTAACTTTGGAAACAGTTAGCAGACTGCTTAGTTTAGTTCTGCTAACTTATAAGCCCGCTACCAAAACTAAAACAACTATTCTTTCACTCATGCCTTGTGTATGCGTGTAGCATCATTAGCATTTTATGTGTTCACCTGCTAGCATTCAATTGGAAGGAGATGAAGACATCAAGTCAATTTATGGTTTTATCCCAATGGATTGATTCGGAGGCGAAACAGCAAAAGGTAATTTGTTTTTTCTAATAATGTTTTTCATAAATCTGGTTTTATTTGCTTGTCGTTTTGATGAAATGTTGGCGAGGTGAACAGCTAAGATTTTTTTAATTGTGTGTATAGCAATGCAGCTGCTCGTGGTTTTAACGGTTTAGTGGACATAAAATGTTTTTACGAGCTTTTAGTCAAGGCCTGATTTTCTGTGGATACCACACATGTCTACGTTTAAATGACAAACCAGTTAGCATTAGCGTCCACTAACTTTCTTACCTGTTTAGTGGTTTAGCGTTACCAAAGCTATATTTTTAGATAGCAGAATAGCTGTAGCTAAGCTAACTTTTTTTGTTTGAAAGTAGTTTTTTTCCTATATAACTACTTCAATAATTTCTTAAGCATTTTTTTTGTAAGAGCATCAACAAGTTATTTGGTGCTGAGGATATTTTGTAATAAAACCATAAGATTAAAGTCTGGTTTTCAGTGTTCTACCTTCATAATACATGGATTTTATGTTATTTTCTTAATCACATGAATTTAGTAAAATGCAACAAATGGCTGGAAAAYGAATACTTTTGAGTAAGGTTTTCAAAATTAATTTATGGACTCTTAGGATTGCTTTACTCCACAGCTGCTTGTTAAAAAAGAGGTGTCCCTCATTTCTGTTAGCATATGTTGGCTGACGTAGGATTTGTGATAATCTGTTTCAAATTCAACATGTTAATTCTTCTAATTGGAAAAAAATATTTATTTTGTAATGTATGTAAATTAGCTGTGAGATTTAGAAAACTTTACGGAAAGTGCCACCTAAAATCTTGCCAAGCGCCCCAAATTGACAAAGGTTGGTCCTGTTTGCCATCTTCTCCTCACRGCATTGAAGGTCAGAAGGTCAATGCAGACTCACCTGCTAAATCTTAAACAAGTGGAGAAGTCAGCCCCATCTGGAGAATCCTCTGAAAACCTCTGCAGCCAGTTATTCCCCTCAGTTCATGCTGCAAAGGTGACACCTTCTGACAGCTGATTTCATGCTTACAGGAAAGATGTGTGAGGTGATGCAATTGTTGCGTTGGAGTGGGTTTTAGGAGAGAAAGGGGCTGAATTTAAACAAGCAGCACAGAGTTCTGTAAGAAAAAAAACCACACCCTTGAGGTGTTTGTGTTTTTTTTTTCTTTTTATCACAAATGATCAGAGACCGAAACATTTGAGCATCCTCTCAATTTATGCTGCACAAATCTGAAATTAAAATAACAGATATCAGTCAAAAACTTAGATTCTTTACTTCCTTTATATTATTTGCATTAACAAGCATGGAACCCAGGAACCTATTAGACCCCTTTGAGGAAGTTACAGGGAACATATAAAGCACTAGGGGTGTAAGAAAATATCGATACACTGAAATATCGCGATATTTCATTTTCTGATACTGTATCGATATTCTAAAGCCCTGTATCGATTTTAATTAAGGTTTAAATTGTCAACTTTCCTGCCAGCCGTTCATTTTTATGTTGTAGTTCAGCCTCTGACCACTAGTTGGCAGCAGTGAGCCAGCCATTTGGATCTTCTACCTCTTGAGCGCCAGAGAGTAAGGGTAGCGTTAGCGTTATGAGTAAACATTAGCTTCATGCTCTGATAGCTGAATCTGAGCGGAAAAGACCGACACCCTCTGCCTTCTAAACTGAGGTAAGGTTACAAACAGTTACTTATTTGTCAGAATGTCTGTATTTTAAACCAAATTAAGTGTCTCATGCGCTCTTTTTTCTAACTTTAGTCAGCCTTCACGTTACAGAAGACTAGCGCATGTCTACGTAGCAATATATCGCAACATATCACTTTGCTTACAGTATCGCAATATATCGGGATATATTGTATCGTGACCCGTCTGTCATGATATGTATCGTATCGCCAAATTCTTGCCAATACACCCAATACACAGCCCTGTAAAGCACATATAGGAATTAGAGTTGGGCATAATCATATCGTGTGCAATTAATTGTCAGAAAAACAATCAATTATTTTTTGACACTTGACGATTAATACGATTAATGCCATCAGGCAGACTTGAGTCTGCTCGATGCTCCTCTACCCTTCAAATATGACAGACATTAAAAAAATGTTCTGTAATTTATTTATCAACACAATTTAAAATTTGATGTATAGCCTGAAGTTGTTAATTGTGGCAAAGATTGGAACAGATTTTTACGAAGAACAAATCTTTCCCACTAAATTGGTCATGTGACAAGGACATAGGGATTTTTCTTCAAATTAATCATCRGCTAAATACCACAATTAATCGTGATTAATTTTTTTTGCCTATATTGCCCAACCCTAACAGAAACCTACAGGGAACATACAAAGCACATACTGTATAGGAAACTACACAGAACACATAAAGCATATATAGGAACCTATAAGACATCTTCAAGGAACCTATAGGAAATAAAGCACATATAGGAACCTACAGGGAACATATGAAGCACGTATAAGAACTAGGGCTGCACCGATTAGTTGAAATAATCGATGACGTCGATTATGTAAATTTGTCGACGCAGATTTTTTATTAT